GTGTCAGAGGCAGTGAGGTTGGCGCAGGATAGAGCAGGGTTTAGGGCTGTTGTGCATAGGGTCGCTATGAGTCGCAAACGACTCGATGGCACATAACAACAACATTTCTTTCTTAACAATGTCCAGTTTTCTGACATTCATGGTTCTCATATTATGTGTTCCGATCATTAGTGTCTGCTTACAACTCTTTCTCTTCCTTTGCATTTCCAAATTTGGGCCTCAGGTGTCACATCTGCTACTCTAAATGTGATCTCCTGTACCCTTTGTTATATGCCTTTGAATCAACTGTGACTCTTTCTGGCATTAGGCACATTAGCTCTGAACCTTGCCCTATCCTGAACCAATCTCATCATCTACAACAGTCTTACCCCATTTTTCCAGTCACTGGGTCAATCCATCTTATCTTGGGTCTTCGTCTTCTATACTGTTCCTCCACTATTTCAAGCTTGATGTCCTTCTCTAAGGACACATTCCCACAGTACACCAGACAGAACTTCAAAATACTTGCCTCCAGGGAGTAGCCTGCTTTCATCCTTTCCAGGACAGAGCTATTTATTCTCCTGGCAGTCCACAGTATGCATTCAAGACCTCAAATCTGTTCCTGAGATGGTCTTTAAAGTCTGGTGAGATAATCTTGAGGTTAAACTTTGGTTCTTGTGGATTTGATTATTATTTTCTTTAGCTTCAGTTTGAACTTGCATATGATGGTCTGTTCCACTATTAGCACCTGATGTAGTTCAGGGACCACTGTGGTTGTTCATTGTCTTTGAGCCGAGCATGACTCATAGTGACCCTATGAACAAAAGGCCTGAAGCCCTTCTATCACTATCAACATTTATCAAAGTTCATAGAGTTTCTGGAGGCATGTTGTGTAGGAAGTAGATTTGAATTTTTTGTACATGGGGTCATTCAAGACTTAGGGTAGACACAAAGAGAGCTAACAGCAATTATTCCCTGTCCAAGACCAATCTTCTGAAGTTCTGTGGACATAATTCTACTCTAAGACACATGGAGTTGCCATGAGCCCAAGGTGAAACCACCATCAGTGGTTTTTCTGGTCTTTAGTTCTCTACGGTAATAGTCTACAGAAACATGCAGTTTATCTTACACAATAATTTAAAGATTGGCACAATTTCACAGAAAATTTGGAATTTCCAACTTACATCAAATAAGAAATCTGGACTTTCCCCACTGTTCTCACCATATTACAGGGAGCTTTGGTAGCATAGTGGTTACTAAGTGGCACTGCTATTCCAAAGGCCATGCTTCTGCAGGTTTGAATGAGCCAGTGGCTCTGAGAGAGAAAAATGTGTAATCTTTTCTATTGTGTGGTTTACAGCTTCTAAAATCCAGTTGAAGGTCTGCTATGAGTCAGTACTGATTTGACCACAGTGAGTTTTCAGTTCATTCTACTTGGCCTGCACTATTTCTTATTTTTCCTAACTGGCTCCTATGAACTTGAATTGCAGATCCCTGAGAAAGCTTACCAAATCAAGATCTAACCAAGTTTTGCAAAGAAGCTCAATGACTAGATGAAAGCCTTTGGCTTTCTTGTGAATCCTGTAGGGAATTAACCAAACCTTGGAAATCAGGTGGGCTTTATGCATAACAGCCTTCACATAAAAGAATAGAAAAACTTCAAAAGCTCTCATTCTTATATTATTATGTGACTAGAGAATTACTACATGATCTCTGTAAGAAACTTGTATTACTTAACTAATGAGTGAACATATTTTGGTCCAGATTAACAGCAATAATGAGACACATGAAAAAGAAATAAACCCCAAAAGACATTGCTTTTCCATAAAAAGTATTTATAATCCCTTATTTCATATAAGCAGGATGAGATATTGATTAAGAGAAGGTGTGGTGGAATCAAATTGCTTGAGTTCAAATCTTGAATGCAACTTAGGAGGATCAGCTATGAGTCATTTCCGACTTTCAGAGGGAAAAAAAACTGCGCTCTTAGAAAGATATCTAGAAATCACTGCTAAGTAATGTGTTTTGTAAAATTCCCTTGAGGATATTCTTTCAAATCTGCTTTAGGCATTAAAAAATGTTGTTATGTGTCAAGTTGGAACCAATTCATAGCTGACCCTCCATCAGGTTTCAGAGGCTCTCTGGTGGCCTAGCGGTAAAAAGTTGTGCTACAATCTCAAAGGCACATGGTTTGAATCCACCAGTTGTTCCTAGGGAAAAGAATGGGCAATCTCCTCCCATGCAATTAATTTGTTTTTGTTGCTGTTATGTGCCGTCAAGTCGTTTGCGACTCATAGCGACCCTATGTACAACAGCGCTAAACCCTGCTCTATCCTGTGCCAATCTCACTGCCTCTGACACACCCATCCCGATTACCCCAGTCACTGAATCAATCCACCTCATAGAGGGTCTTCCCCTCCTGCGCTGTCCCTCCACTCTGCCCAGCATGATGTCCCTCTCCAAAGACCTGTCTCTCCTTACAATATGTCCAAAGTATGTCAGGCAAAGCCCCAGAATCCTTGCCTCCAAGGAGCAGCCTGGTTTAACCCTCTCTTGGATGAATCTATTTGTTTTCTTGGCAGTCCATGGTACATTCAATACTCTTCTCCAGCACCACAGCTCAAAGGCATCAACTCTCCTTCTATCATTACTGCCTCAGAAAATCTGCTGAAGGGTCAGCTGTGGGTCGATTCCAGCTTGATGGCATGTAACAACATCAAATTGCATGGGAGGGAATTGCCCATCTTTCTCCTGAGGAGAAGCTGGCAGTCCAACATTCCTGGCTTTTGTTGGCAGGAAAACTCCTTACCACTAGAACACCTAGATAATATTGATTTCTTTGAGGCCATTAAAACATTTTCTAACACAAAGCTAAATAATCCAAAATTAACATGACTCATTTGTTAAAAGACTGCACTTACAATTTACAGTTTGACTGCCTTGAGTTTTGGAAGGTAAATAACTTCTCTGAAGACAATAAACTGCATAGATTGTGTGTGTGTGTGTGTGTGTGTGTGTGTGTGTGTGTGTGTGTGTGTTGTGTCTGTGTGATTCCAATTCAGATGCAAAGCCTTAAAGGCAGAACCCACTGCTTTTAGATAATTTCTAAAATACCTGAAATCGTTACTCCCTGATTCAGGTTTCAATTGTACATATGTATGTAATCAGTATCTCAGAACTTCAAAGTTACACCCATCTGTTCTTAGTAAAAGATAAAAAGTAAAGATATATAATAAAAGATATATAGGATGTTACCATTGATGTAAGCACACTGGTTTTCCCTCAAGATTCTTTCAGACTTCTTGGCCATCTCATTGGACTTTTTATCAGGCCAGGCAAATAGTGTCTCCTTTAGATTTCCCTGGAGCATCTTCAGAAAGCAGTGAGAGTCGGTATGATCATGGATACTGCTGTATATGCACAAAATGACAACTGAAGTCAGTAGATGGTGGAATATCAGACCTGGGATAACAGTCTGTCCCAAAGCTTCCAGCTGCACCATTATTAATCAGGCTTCTTTCAAAATCCAGTGAGCTGGATTTCAAAGATGTCATCAATTTACAATCACTGCTGTCCAAGGCAAATCAGTAAAAAGACTATGCCATACATATCACATATCACTATCAATGCATGAAAGCAGTCTACTTTTGACATATACCACTAAACAGCAGGATTTTTTAAAAACCCAAAGCACAATACAGTTTGAATAATACTTTGATAAAAGAAAAACAAAACCTTTTTAATCTTCCCCTAAGGTATAGTTTTTAAACCAGGTCAGTTAAGGTGGTTTAGAATTTGGTAACATAAGAACAATAGAAAAATTTTGGAAATGATCATGATACCAGCTATAATAATGGCCACAATGAGAAAAACACTTAAGAGGCTTTTTCTCCCCTTTACTATTTCCTTTTGTCTCTGACTATGGATGTGTATGAAAAGTTTAAAACTATACTCTAAAATGAATGTTGTTGATGGTGCTGACAAGTCAGCTCTGACTCATAGCAAATTTAACTACAACAGAATGAAGCCATGTCTGAATCTCAGCTGTGCTTAAGCTCATAGCCAGTCACTGAACGAATCCACCTCATTGAGAGTCTTCCTCTCCTTCACTGACTTTCCACTCTTCTAAGCATGATATGATGTCCTTTTCCAGAGCTTGGCCTTTCCTGATAACACACTCAAGATAATGTGAGAAAAAGTCTCACCATCTCTGGATCTAAGAAGCACTCTAGTCACACTTTGTCCAAGACAGATTTGTTTGTTCTTTTGACTGTTATTGGACATTGAATATTCTTTGCTAACTTCAGTATAAAAAAATGTTAATATTTTCTGTCTTAGAGATAATCCTATCTGTGAGTCTCTCCCAACACTGGTAGAAAAAAGAATGTAAACTGGATTTGGGGAAAGAAAATTTTTGAAGTAATTGTTGGAGTAAACAGTATTTAAATAGGAGTCCTTGGATGGTATAAATAATTAAACTGAAAAGTTAACTGAAAGGTTGACAGTCTGAACTGACACATTATTGTCTCAGAAGGCCACAGACTTGGGCATTCTATGGAACAATTCTAATTTGCAAGTATGGAGTTATCATGAGTTAGAATTGACTTGATAGAAACTAATAAAAAACCCTATCTGAGAATGTCAAGCAACAAGAAAGCATTACTCATTAGCTGAAGACTTGAGCAAAATAAATAAATAAGCCTGTACAATTTCTGGCACTTATTTCCTATGCTAGTTCTATTAACTCACATAGAACCCTTGGTGGTACTGTATATTAAACACTGGGGAAGCTAACCAAAAGTTTGGTGGTTCGAATCCACCTTGGGAGAAATGACGCCATCTCTTGCTTTAAAGATGTAAACCCTATGGGCCAGGTCAACTCTAGTTTAAGTTGCCTTACCCTCTAAATAAATGGGGGGAAAATAATTTTAAAGTAGAAAGAAACCTTATGAATTTGTGAACTTTTTCTATTTTCAGCACCTACATACTTTGGTCTTTGGTCCCATAATTGTTTACACACACTTCAAAGTACAACAAAGTTTAAATCTTAGCACAATTACTTGTAAAGTTTAACTCCACAAAAGACAAAAAGATTATGTTAAGCTGGTTATTTATCTTTTTGGATTTACTATTCATCATGTGGAAATAATTTTGAAAACACCTTATACTATTTTTTATTTTATTTTTTCTAATTTTTAATTTTATTTTATTATTTTTTGTGTGTGTACCGTCAATTCGAATCTGACTGGTACAGGAAGAGATTGCTCCTCCTTCTCCAGCAGAGCATCTGGTGGATTCACCTCATATTATTTTTAAAAAGAATTTCTGCTGGCACTGTTCTCGAGATGTGTGGCTAGCCAGTCATTGCAGTTCTCACATGCTGACAGACACTGAATTGTATTACCTGCCATGTCCTTCACCCCAACACAGAATCATTAAATTAAATTTTCCATTTCCTTGATCCACAAGATTCCGGGTATACCTAAGAAAGAAGATATACACAAATTTTAACTTGACTGGTAGAACAAGCACTAGGGAAAAATTAATGAGTTACAAGCATCATTCATGAACAAATATTATTTCTGCATCTAAACAACTCTGAATACTGTTCTAGAATTAGACATCCCAATACAAATGGTTTTCCCCCACCCATTCATAGTTCATTTTAGACATGTCTATATTTTTAATTAATTAATTACCTAGGGTAGCTTCTCAATTTTAATTAATGAATAGCATGGGAAAAGTACCTGGTAAAAGGAAAAAAGGTATTAAACTCTTATGAATGAAAGCTTCTCAAAGAAGGTATTTGCAAAGTGTATTACTGCTCCAGGCATGAATGTTGCTATTGTTTTTTTGCTTCCTCTGCTCTTTTCCTTGTAGCTAAATCAAGTCTTGATAACAAGGTTTCATTAAAGTTATTCTACAAGTCTCAGTTTACTACAGCCCAGGCACAAACCTCATTCAAAAGCATTCATAATGTAATAGGCTAGGGGTGCACTGCAGCATCAGAACAAAGGAAACTATATTGGGGAAGTAAATAATACTCCAATCCTTTCACAATTAAGAATAAAACAGCAATTGGTTAAAGCAAAAAGAGTAATCAAAAAACCCTTATCACCAGAAAAATAAAGATTAAAGTCCCTATTGATCCAGTAGTTCCTATTAACACCATCTAACTAGCAGAGTTTCATAATCAATGCTATACATTGAGATCATCATATTTAAGAAAAGGATTTTAGCCCTTTTGGTGTGTCTGTTTGACATGGTCATCTGTTTACTTATGTCTTGTTTGTCCCTTCCTCCCCAGGCTCTGGGCCAAGTGTTTGCACAGCATTATCTCTCAGCGAGTTGCTAAATCAGTGCTTTTTAGTTGTAAATCTTCTTACTTTGTATCCCGTTATGATTTAGCAAGAGTCTGTGCATTCAACCTTTAATCATAGTAACACTCAGCTTCTGTATCAGAAGGGTACTTCCTCCCTTAGCCCTGGTGTTATCCGGTGGCTTTTATGGTGTTCTTCCTGAGAATGAGTTATCTAGTCTCAGTTCTTCCAGACTGGTTCTCCCAAGGTCAGCAGGGATCAGAATTCCTCTCTATGTGCACTATTAGATGCAGAAATTGCTACCAAATGGAACTCTACTCACTCTCTCATCTCCTTTAACTCCCCACTAAAGACTATATAGGTAAATCAATACAATTGGTTATTTTTTAAAAAACAAACCACCAAACATTTAAGAGCTTGTCAATTAATACTAATTCAACCCAAACAAAAACCAAGCCCACTCCTGTTGAGTCAGTTCTGACTCATAGTAACCCTATAGAATAGAACAAGCTGAACTGTCCCATTAGTTTTCTAAGGCTGTAATCTTTATGTTTATTTCTTTTTTTAGTGGAAGCTTTTTTTAAATGAAATGTTATAAATTATATTGTTTTTACACAACCATCCATACATTTTATCTTATGACATTGTCATTGATTAATGTAAGTAATTGATTAAAATGCCAAATTAATCCCTTATTATTATATATTGCCTTTCCCAAGGTTGTACTCTTTATGGAAGCAGACTGCCACATCTTTCAACTCAAGAGCATCTGTCTTGCTTGAACTGTTGACCTTTCAGTTCTTAGCAGAGTGAATCACTAAATCATCAAGGTCCCTAAAACTGCCCTCCTTCAAAAGTGCTTAAACAGCTTATCCTAGTTACTTGACTTCCCTTAGCTGCTATCCAGTTAGGGAGATCTGGTGGGTCATTGCACAGGGAGCTGCACTACTAAGCCAAAGGCCACACCTCTCTGGTGGTTTGAACCCACAAGCTCTGTAGGAGAAAGATGAGCAGTCTCTTCCTCTGCCTTGGACATCCGGTGGAGTTAATATCCAACCCGATAGCAGTGAGAGAGAGAGCTATTTAGTTCCTGTCCAACCCAACTCAGTTGACACCATGCATGATAGGATCAGACAACTGGGATCCACACAGTTTTCACTAGCTGGTTTTTTAAAGCAGATCATCAGACCTTTCTTCCTAGTTTGTGTTAGACTTGGAACCTCCACTAAAATCTGTTCAACATCATAGTAATATGCAAGCCTTCACTTCTCTTAAGGTAAATCGGTAGAGTTATCATATTTGATCTCCTGCATGGAAGAGCTAAATTCTACCACTGAGCTGAAGTACTCTGGCCCTCAAAACAAGCCATTTGTCAGAAAAGCTGCACTGCAATCCCGAAGGCAAGTGGTTCGAATCCACCAGCTGCTCAGCAAGAGAAGGATGGACAATCTCTTCCAATACAATTAATTGGTCAATCTCTTCCCCTGTGATTAATTGCCTCTGAAAACCTGCTGGAGGGTCAGCTATGGGTTAGTTCTGACTCAGTTGTTCACAACAACAACAACAACAACAACAACTTTCTAGAGGAAGCTTAGTAATAGATTAAACTATGGGTTCTGGAATTATATTGCAGGACCCTGGAATCAATACTTATCACTTAGGCAAATCTCTTCATTGCTCACCAGTCCTCACTTATAACATAGGGCTGAGAATGGTATTTGCCTCAGAGGTTTGTTGTGAAGTAGGAGAGTTGATAGTGTAAAGTAATGGACATGGCCTAGCCAGAGGCAAGCATTCAATTACCTGAAGCTACCTGGTGATTTGATTTACAAAAAGATCCACTGTAAACCCTGTAGACCCGTGCAGTTCTCCTCTGACACACATCTCCTGAGGCAATCTGAACTGAGGCTGATAGCACCTAAAGGAATTTCCTGAAGCCAGTGCAAATGAAAAATAGGATACTAAGTAGGCTTCTTTTTTTTTCTATTTCTATTATAGTTCAAACAGTCCTTGCCTACAAAATTTTACTAAAAACTATGTTAAGGTGTGGTGACCAACCAAATTATTGCCAAAAAAGAAAACAAGCCCAAAGTTTACCAATCCTTTTTTCTACTCGAAAAGCCTACTAGCCCAATAGACCGATTAGGAGGTGGTTATGTGTTTAATTAGCAAACTTATCAGCAAAATCTGATGACCCACAGTCCGGGGTGGTCAATTAAACCGGTTTGGGAGAGGGCACAATAAAAATTGAAGTGTCTGTTTACTACCCAAAACGGCTGTTGGCGGGTACTAACTGAGGACGACTAAAGGCATTTGATGAGGAATTGGCATCAAGGAAGTGTATTCCCTACAGTTCTCCAGGAAGCCCCTTTCCTTGGTCCAGACAGTTTCCAGGGCCAAGAGTGAGGAGCCCAGCTGTAGGATCCTCTCACACCTCTGTTCCTAGCGTAACTGGGGGCTGCAAGCTAAATCTGAAAATTGAGCGAGGGAAGGAGGCGACAGCTGTGGAGACAAGAGAGGAAAGAATGGCAGTTTAGAAGCAGCCAGACGGAGCAAAAGAAAACAGAAAACCTCCTAGTGCCCTCTCCCAGCCAGAAAAGCCTCTAGGAGTCTGCTGACCAAAGCGCGCAGCGCCAGCTTTATAGCCTCAAAGAGAAGTAAAGGGGCGCCGTGGGAACGACGATAGGGTAGGCTGAGTGCTTCCCCGGAGATTAGTCGTCTCCGCTGTGCCCCTCCTGTCTTTAACCTATACACTGTCCCCCCTCTAAGAAGCTAGGAGGCTGGCACCCGGGCGTCCAGAGATCCCCGGCCGGCTGTGTGGAGTGCGCTCACCTGAACTGGTCGAACTTGGCGTACGCTGCCCACTCGGAGGGCTTACTCTCATAGGCTTCCATGACGGCCTGCACCTCTTCCACATTGACCTCATCCCCAGCGAAGAGCTGGTGCAGGATGCGGATCAGGTCGGCCAGTGTTCGCGGCTTTAACACCTCCGTCTGCTCCATCCCTTGCAGAGCTGGCGATGCGTGCGTCTTGGTGCTGGGCTTCGGTGCAACCGCTCCTTTGGAGCGAGCCGAGTTGCTGGGGCGAGGGGAACCTAACTGCCAGCTAGACTGCTGCAAATAGATAGACACACAGACCTTCCAAAGACTCCAGCGCTGTAACGCGAAGAATCCCAGGAAGGAGGTAGCAAGAGCCCAACCCCACCTCCAGCCGCCAGCGGACGCGGCGCGAACACTAATGTGTGGAACGCTGCGGCCCCGGTCCCTTTTAAGCTCTCGGAGTCAACGGGAATGTACCAATCGCCTCGGGGGTGGGGAGAGGCAGGAGACGAGAGAGAAGAGTGGTGGAGGCGGGGAGAAACTGCCGGCAAGGCCCACCGTGAGGCTCCCCGCTTCCAGAGCCCTCAGATCCCTCACTGGAGGCTCTTTCTCTCCTTTGGGCTTCGCTCTCGGTGGGCTTGGCCTGATCTCCCCTCTGCTAAATACACGTAACTTTTTGACGCCCATCCCAGCCCCTACATCCACTGCCTCTCCTAGCGTCTTCTCTCTGCCTATGGATTCAAGACCCTGGGACCTAGGTGGAGAGATCCGGAGGCCAAGGCTCTGAGCTCCCTGAGAAAGTCAAGGAAAGGGACCCTTTCTTTCAATGGAGCCGAGGAAATCCTGCGCACCCTGTGAATACCGAAGAAGGACTGCACGCCCAAGCTGGGAGTTTTGCACTTGATTCAAATTGTTAACGGTATACCGCAAGCTAGGTGAAAATCAGCTTAAATTTTCATTCAATTTTTTTTTACACTGTAATCACATTTTGGTAAAAGAGACTAGGGTAGAGTAAGACTAAATAGTAAAACCCTGAAAGTCTAGATTCCTCATTACTTTTTTTTTTTTTTAAATAAAAGCTGATGTTTCAGTTAAGGCGAAAAGTGTGTTTCAATTTCTTTGTTTTGCTTTTATTTAGATGCACTAAGAGTTCTAATTTGACGATTTACAGTCCAAGGTTCAATTCTACACATGTGTTGAAAAACGTTCCAGTTCTTTCATAAAAGGAAACCTGTATCTGTGCAAAATGAAGTGCCGTCGAAAATAGAAAAAAGCAAGAGGGATAGGAGATATATTAAGGATGGGTTCCTTTCTCAGATTAGACAAGCATTCAGGCATCAATTTCTATTTGAAATTAATGGCTTAGTTTTCTAGAAGGTGAGAGCATTCTTTACTTGTGCCACCTGCTGTCTTATTTTTAAAATCCCAGGTTAAAGTGATGGCACAGTGTTGTCAGCAGTGCTGTTATAACACCTCCAACAGTGCCACCTGACACCGAAGATGCTCTGATTCACGGGGACTCCATTCAAAACAAGACCAGAACTGTGTGACTTTTCGTTATCAGACTTTCACAGGCAGGTAACCAGGACTTCTTTCCTTATTTTAATCTGGAAACTCCCCTCAAACCTGTTTTCCAACAATGAAACACTTGGTATTTGTAATCCTGGCGGCATAGCTTCCAGCATCAGAGGCAACATGTAAGTTTCTAATGGGAAACGGGTAGAAGTGTTTATGTACTAGGTAGGTACATGGGCAGGAAACAAACCCAAGACTTACAGAAAGAAGCATGATAGAGCTCAGTCATCACTGTTCACAAATGTTAGGTGTAGTCAAATTGGTTCTGACTCCCAGTGACAGAGCAGAAGAAATCAAGTCCTGATCTTGAACGTCCTTACAATGTCTGCCACATTTGAGCCTATTATCATAGTCACAATGTCACTCTTATCTACCTGAAGGTCTTCTTTGTTGTTAACCTACATAATCGAGCAGGATCATGATGTCCTTCACCAGGAACTGTTCCTTTTTTTTGGTAGTTATACTGTTTTTTTTTTCTTTTTTAAAATTTTTTTTAAAATATTTTTTTATTGGGAAAA